CCCCCCCCCGCACTCCACCCCTCCCCACCCACCCCACCCCCCTCCGGGCCTCCGGACTGGCCGGGGAAGCCCGGGGCAGGGGTCGGGCCTGCCAGAGACCGGAAGGCAGAAGAGCGCGCCCAGTGGAGGTGGGCATGGGCGGCCTGAGGCCTGGGCACGGGTTCGAATTCGACTTCCACCAGCAGCCCTGGAGCCAGTTCTGTCGCGTTTCCCCAGCTGTGCTGCACCTCCTCCTCCTTCCTCCTTTTCCTCCTCTTCCTCCCCCTCCTCCTCCTTCCTCCTTTTCCTCCTCTTCCTCCTCCTCTTCTTCCCTCTCCTCCTTCTTCTTCCTCTTTCTCCTCCTCCTCTTTCTCCGCCACATTCCTCCTCTTTCCTCTCTTCCTCTTCCCCTCCTCCTTCCTCCTCCTTCACCCCATCCTCCTCCACCCCCTTCCTCTTCCTCCTTCCTCTTCCTCCTCCTCCTCCTCTTCCTCCTCTTGGGGTGTGAACCTAGAAGAGGTCTCCTCTTAGAAACCTGAGCCCTCCGTCTTCCATCCCTGCCCCCCCCCTCTGCAATTTGAAAGACCTAAATTTGGAGGCGTTGGGATGGCCCCAGGAAATGCTATTAGAAGGAGAATTTGGAGTCCGTCCCTCCTTTCTCCCCGTAAGAGGAGACCCTCACACCAGCCGCACCCCCATCTCTCCCAGGTTCCCCCCCATGTCACCCATAACCTGCAACTAAATCCTGCAGTTTCTGTCACTCAGGCTGAAGGGGGAGGACACCCCCCCTTCCTCAACATCCCTTCTCCAGTCTGGAACCCCCCCCCCCGGCTGTAATTCCAGCCACTCAGGATACTGAGATCCGAAGATCATGGTTCCAAGCCAGTCTAGGGAGGAAAAGTCCCTGTGACTCTTATTCCTAGTTACCAAAAAAGCCAGAAATGGAGCTGTAGCTGAAGTGGTAAAGGAGTAGCCTTGAGCAAAAAGCTCAGGGACAGAGCCCAGGCCCTGAGTTCAAGGCCCGGGACCAACACAAACACATACACACACACACACACACACACACACACACACACAAACACAATTAATATTAACACCTATGCCAAGGTGCCTCATTTTATTCAATAAGAAAACTGCATGCTAAACTTAGAAGATTGCATTTTTCAGACCTCAAATTATCAAGCAATAATAACTGTTTATTAGCAGAATCTTTTAAAAATGTAAATATGGCCAGGTGCCAGTGGCTCACGCCTGTCATACTAGCTACTCAGGAGGCTGAGATCTGAGGATTTTGGGAGCCTGACAAAAGCCTGACTTTTTTTTTTGTTTTTTGATTAGTCCTGCGGCTTGAACTCAGGGCCTAGGTGCTGTCCCTGAGCTTTTGCTCTCAAGGCTAGTGCTCTACCACTTGAGCCACAGTACCACTTCTGGCTTTTTCTGAGTAGTTTATTAGAGATAAGAGTCTCAGGGACTTTCCTGCCTGGTTTGGCTTCAAACCATGATCTTCAGATCTCACTCTCCTGAGTAGTTAGGATGACAGGTGTGAGCCAGCAGCTCTCGGCTCTGAGAGAATCTTATATCCAGTTAGCCAGCAAAAAGCCAGACAAGGAGCTGTAGCTCAAGTGGTAGAGTGCCAGCCTTGAGGTGGAAAAGCTAATGGACAGTGCCCTTAGTTCAAGCCTAGTCTGACACAAGTGCACACATGCACGCACACCACACACACACACACACCCCTCCCATCTGGTTCTTCTCATGCCCCAGCTTGACCCCAGAGGTGTGGAAGTTTTGCTTTTCTTTCAGGTATTGTTTTCTGATGACCAGAGTAACATCTAGTGGGCAAAGCTCATCCAAGGAGATAAATGAGGTTGGATAGGAAGATAATTGTGATCTTAATAATAGAAAAATGTCCCCAGAGGGTCCCCAGAGGCCTCCCCAGCCCGGTGGCCAGGTCTGACTCCTGGGACTGGCTCAGCTCTGGCCCAGAGGAGGCCAGAGGGCAGCCCTCCGCCCAGAGGCAGCTGCAGGCCTGCAGTGGCCTCACTCGCTTTCTGGCTTCAGGACTCTTGTCTCTTTCAAATGACCTTGCAGAGCGTTCTGACTTGGTCCCTGCCCAGCAAACCCCTCGCATGGCTCCTCCTTGCTCCCTTGCTGGCTGACAGTGAAGCTTTTTTTTTTGGGGGGGGGTGTGGCTCAGTCAGGCGTGGGAGGGTTCCCATGGCGACAGAGGGAGCAGAGGCCTGGGGAAGCCTCTTTGGCCCGAGGCATTCCCACTTAGAACTGTACAGATGGCCGCCTTTGGACGGGCAGATGCAGGAGGTCCCCTGGTCTCTATTGTAGGCGAAAGTGACCCACATCTGCGCATAAACCCTTTGTTTAGGGCTTCTGAATCCATTCACTGTTGGTGAGTTCGTTCTGCACCCAGAGCATCTTTTCATTAAACAGCCCACTCCAGACCACTTGAATCACATCTCCTCTTCCAGCTTTTTGCTGGTTAACTGGAGATAAGAGTCTCAAGGATTCTTGCCCCCCCCCCCCAGCCAGCTTTCAACTGTGAGCCTCAGATCTCCGTCTCTTGAGGAGCTAGGGTGACAGGTGTAAGTCACCGGCTCAAAGCCTCTTTCCTTTATTTCTATCACCATTGGTTTCAGAGTTTTCTGTCTAGTTCTTTATTACAGCCATTCACCCACGTGGTTACTACTGTGGTCGTAGTTTTACTGCCACTTTTATGTGTTTATGTCCCTTTTTTTGACTTCAATTGCTTCTTAAAACAAAAGCTTTCAGTATGTGATGTTTTTACTCAGCGCTGAGGGTCTTCTGAGCAGGTTTGTGTTTTATTTTTATTTATAGGGGTTATCTCTATAACTATGTAGAATGAACTTCAGTTAAAAATATTTCTTTTGAGCCAGGATTTTATTCTGTGGCCCAGGGTGACTACTTAACCTTCAGATCATCCTATGTCAGTTTCCCAAATACAGGGATTACAGGTGGGCACCACCACACCCAAGCATTTTTTGTTTTTTAATTTCTAGGTATTCTTTTTTTTTTTTTTTTT